CCCCCCCAAAAAAAAAAAAAAAAACTGTTGTTTATTTGCATTTGTAGGATAGTGTGGTGATATCTGCTGTTTCCAGTCTTGTTATTCGCTTGCTTTATGAATGACTTGTTAGTTGTTCTGGAAAATAGATTGTTGTTAACTCATACACCATCTTGTGGTTCTGGTTTCAGTTTTTCACAGAGTATAACTCAAAGCTACTCGAGTCTAGTAACTACATCACCAGAAGACAAGCTGTCAAGGTAAGGGATTTGTCCCCTCTTTGATGTGGAAATATTTGGTTGAATAGTATGGTTCTGGTAATTCTGGCATGAGTTTTGTTTCTTTGGAATCTCACACATTTTGCAAAGAATCCAAGTGTAAATTTGGGACGTTACATTATGAATCATTAATGTTCAAAGTGCTTTCTTTTGTTAAATTTCTCCAGATCTCTTACACAAGTGATGTTTTGCTGACTTGAATGCTGATCATCTTGTGGAAGATTTTTTTTCTTTTCCTTTTGCACCTCTTTAGAAAATACTAGCAGTGTTATCAAAAGCAAAAAATACCAAAAATCCTAAGGTTCATTGGAGCTTTAAGTGCAAAGCACAAATAAAGTGTGGGCTTTAATGAAAAAAGGTGCAAAGGGAGAAAAATTACAAATATATATGTTTAGTCCAAGGCTAATAATTATAAGCATGAATGACAAATATATGAACAAAGAAATTGAAAACAAATTACGATATAGTGAAATATCAATTGTTTTGTGGCTCATCAGAAAGGAAAAATTTGTATTAGAACCTTGATGACGACATTGAAGCGCACATAAAATGAGGCAAAACGCTCAACACGTTTTTAGCCTCATTATAGGGCTTAAGTGTGCCTTTGACAACACTGATACATAGTAATGTTAAGAAGAAAATAGGAGGAAGTTGTAATCTGTACAAGGCACACCAGATATTCTGAGGTGGAAACACCGTAGGGACGGAATGCTACTGTTAAGGATTTAAGTCTGTCTACAAGATGGTATCATCAGCCATTTCCGTGAACTAAAGGCTTTTGAAGATTATAGATAAAGCTATGAATGAGGGTAGAGGGGCGGACCCATTATCCACCGAGTTTAGAAGGCTGTGATTGGTCCAAAGGGCGGGTCACAGACGGATTTCTCGGTTATCAAAAAAAA